GAAGTTTGGTAGGTTTTTCAACAATAGTTTTTGAGACCAGTTTACCTCTTCACATTTATGCTCACAACCCCCTTATTAGAAAAGTCTGTATTTATATACAGGCTCTAAATTTGTGATTGATTAAAAGAAAGTGAGTGTTAATTAGCCTCCAGTGAAAATATATTGAAAGCCTATTTTCATTTGATTCCAATATTTCTTCCAAAGAATTCTATATAAACATATGCCAATTCCCTAAGATGGTTTAGAGTTAGGAATGAGTTTTTATGGTGTTTCTTATAGAACAACTCAGGTAATTTCCATTTCTGGTTTTATATTTTCTGTACAAACTGCCTGGGTTTTATTTTTCTAATCAGCAAGGTGCTTCACTGCCTTCTTGAGACGCCTCTCAAAGCTATTAAATGGCTCCTGTGCTATGTGTGGTGTCAGTAGTCTAATTTGCTTCTGTTAAATGTTGTAGAACCTTTTTCACTAGGAAATAAGATTCATTTCTTTTGGCAGTAGATGAAGATTCATATTTTACTGTTTCTTCAAATGTGTTTCTGTCAGGCTTTGTGTTATTTTAAATGGTTTTTTAAATTTTCTTCTATGTTTTCAATTACCTAAAGACATAGGATAATAGTTTTTTTAAGTTAGAATTTTACCTCATAAGATTTTTTTGAGGTTTGATGTATGTCTCTGTCTTATCAATAATGAGGCTTAAAAAATATTGGATTTGAATGGCTGCCATTTTTTCAAAGCAATATGAATTTGATGAGTTTGTTTTATGCCATTAGGTGGCGCCAGAGGTCAGAACATGTCTGTTTTGAATTGGATTGTTACAAATAAGCATATTTGATGCGGAAATTTCTGGGAGACAAAAAAATTGTGGAAATAAAGTTAAAAAATTGACATTCATTGAGCCAAAAGAAATGTGGAGAAGCATTTTTCACCTTTCTGTTTGGCCTGATTAACATTTAAATTCTTGCCAAAATTAAGGTAACTTTAAAAAAATGCCTTTTGTAGGTAGGATCCAGCAGTTTGGCAATGCCCACAGTTATCGTAACACAGAAAACTGATAGTGCTGTAAAATGGACACTAAACTATTAAAACAGTGTGACATTGTTCTCTGTTCTTCCATAGCCAGTAACATGCTTGCTCGTGCTTTCTACTTCTAGCGATCATTCTTTTCCTAACATATATTTACAAATTTACCAAATTTTACCTAGAATTTTAGGACCAAATGGTTCTCACTCTTTATGCTGCAAAGACCTGGATGATGTTTGGTAACTATAGAAAAATAGAAGTTACACTCAGGATCACTGTTACTGCTATTGCCACTGATGATTCCTGCAAAAATATAATCGAAGTTTTCCATCAAATGTATAATATGCTATTAATACACATTAGATGATGACAGTTGTTCCATGAATGATTCTATGAAGCTATGCATCTTAGACCTCTTGAGCTGTGAATTAGCACTATTTTCTATAGTTACTTATTTTCTGGATCATTTTATAATTTCCATATTAATTTCAAATATGCCCGTGTTATTCTTCAGTGATTTCCACAATTGTGCATTTTATTCTTTGGTTTAAGTACTGAAGCATATAATGAAAGTAATTGCTAAGTAGCAGCTTAAAAATTCAATTATCAGATTGTATTTAACATCTTTAAGAGCATGATCATAAAGAGCTATTTTTGACACCCCCCTCCCCACTTTTTTAACATTTAGAGTTAATAAGGGTTTTATATTTCATCTGTCCATATTGTTTTCAAAGGAATTAGGTGTTTAGGTAGGTGGAAAAGCATTTGTAGGAAGTTAGATTTGAATGTAGACAAGGTGGGTTATTCATGTTGAGAATGTTATTTGAAGAACGCCTGTGAAGCCAGGTGTGGGTTCTACTCAGTGCCATAGATAGACTGAGGCTTCTCTTGTAGGTCACCATTACATAGTAATTTTGATTCTGAATTTCACATTAAATTATTTGAGTTTATACAGACCTAAATTTTAAAATCTGTACATATATTATTTTGATGTATTAAGATGAATAAATATTGCTGATTTAAATTTTATTTATGCACATACTTAAAGGACAGAAATGTCTGGGAAAGTAATTGTTAAATAATGATATGTAACTTTTTAACTTTTTAAATAAATAACAAGATTTTTAATGTGTGTCTCCCTCAGGGTTGTTTAAAGTTTTTTTTCTCCCTCAAGTTTAAATAGTGGTAACTATATGTTTTGTATCTTCTAGCACCAACTGCTGTAAAGCAATGCTGCAAATAATGCTTGAATAAAAGTGGCTAAGCCAACAACAAAATACTTTTTATAGTAGTTTTGTAATCCTTAAATTCGAAAGCTTTCCAAATTGCACTTGCATCTAAACAAAACTGTTGCAGTTTTTACTCTATTTATTTTGTTCCCCATGTTTGTGAAAGTCCTGCACAGTTTCAAAGGCATGGTAAATAGTATATCAATGTTTATGTAGTCTGTTACAAAAACAGCTATAGATAACATTATCCAGTGAAAAGCAAAATTCAAGCTTTAGAAAATACTCATGCATGCAATTTTGACATATCTAAAAATAGATTTTTGTATATTTATGGTGGGAGGTGGTTGAGAACTTTTAACAAAATGGGGTGTTAATTTTTGTACAGTCTGTGGGCATTTACACATTTTTAATGTATTAAAATTTGGTAATTATGTGTACATTAAATTAATAAAATAGCTACTTCTGGTTATGATTTGTGAATTCCCTAAGACCTTGGATTTTTTTAAGTAACTTTATATCAGAAATGATACTGCATCTTTATATTTTTAAAATTGTATTGCTGCTCAAGAATGGTACCCTCTTGTCAAAAAGGCATACATTCATAATTGTACATTCAGCATTGTAAATAATCTTATGAAACCTTTTTTGATTGAAGCTATTCAAAATAAAAATTTTAATGAATGAAATAACACTTTTTTTCTGTGTCTTTATACATTTGTTTGCTTTTTAGTCACATGAATACTGCCCTTTGCGGATTTATTTTCATGCCTGTTAGTACTTCCCATGTCCCTTTTTTTTTTTTTTTTTTTTAAAAAAAAGGAAATAACATTCCGCATATCATACCGTGTGTGTGACCATCCTGGGGAAACCGCTCAGTCAGATGTAGTGTAGAGCCAAATGTTAAACGCGAGGAGGTCTGAGGGAAACGGTGAAATAGAAGAGTAGGGACTTAAAATCTATTAATAGTTGGGAGAATCAAACTAGAAGCTAATACCATGGAGAGAGAAAATGGTTATAGAAATCCCAGAGAAGACAGGACCTTTGTTTGTGGCTGGTAGTTGTTTCCATGGAGCTCAGCTTCGGGAGACATGGCGTCTCTGCTAGGGAAATGTGGCTGGCTGTGGTGTGATGAATTCGGGGGGTGAGGACCTGCCTGCTGTTACCTCAAGTTCTTAGCAGTCGCTATGGTTTGTGCAGCATGTATGACCTTGTCCCCACAGCCTGTTGGTGTGGGCATAGTTCTGCATGTCTCTCCTTCCCCCGTATTGCTGCCAAGGGCTCTATTTTGAATGTATATTGCAGGAAGGGACAGGGAGTCCTAGGGGCTTGAGTGAGACTGTGGTCCAAGCTGGGGTGCGGTTGCTCCCTGTTGTGCCCTGCCCACTGAGTCTCCCTCAGAGGAAAGAGGCTTATCTCACCCAGGCAGACCTGCTTTTGAATAGCCAAGCCTTTTAAGCCAGGTCACTGTTTGACAGCAGACTTCTGACCTGATATGGACACAGAATCTTGAGACCGGAAGCACTGGAGCTGTCAACTTCATTGCTCCAAATACTTCTCATTACCTCATCAGCTTGCTCAGTGGATGGACTAAGACTGTTCCCCCCACTCTCTGCAACTTCCATACCTACTTTTCCCTTCTTGGACAATCAGAGTGTCTTCCTAAGGAACAAAACGTAGAGGCCATTCTGACTGGAGGTTTTCCTGGGGAAATAGGCTAAAGAAGGGCCACAAGAATTTGAGCCTGTGGCATCTTACTCTATTTCACAGCTCGCCTTCCCAGTCTGTCATGTTGGCTCCCTGGCATTTTCATGGGCAAGGGCGGTGGGGGGGGAGCTTGCACTTGATATGCCTATGCATGACAGACTGACCAGGTCACCAGTGTAGCAGCTCTGGGCTCTGGAGTTGCATTCCTTGATCAGAACTGAAAGACCTCCTGCAATACTTGGCAGAGGCAGTGGCTCTTCCCTGCGGTCCAGGACTGCATGACTTTGAAGGTAATTTCCGTCAACCCAGCATGTGCTGGGCTCTGACTGTATTTGGCTACATCAGAGGGTGATTGGATCCCACGATGCAGACATTCCTTATGTATTCTGATATTAAGTCTTTCTCAGTTATAGGTGTTACAAATATCTTTAGTTCGTGGTTTATCTTTTCCCCTTTTTTATGGTGTCTTGAAGGACAGAAGTCTTAATGCAGACAGCATTATCAGAGAGCTCAAAGGACACATAGACACGTTTTGCCTATAGACAAATGGGCAAAAGGAAACCCAGCCTTCTCAAATGAAGCGCAAGTGGGCCTTAATTATGTGAAAAGGTGCTCCAGTTCATCATTAAACAGGGAAAGGAAAAGTTAAACCATGCTGCGTTATCTTTCTTAGAAATGGCAAAAATTAGGAAGGACCAAGTGTGGGCAGAGAGGAAGCACAGGAATTCTCATAAATGGTAGGTGGCATTGTAGACCAATAGAACCACTTTGGAGAGCAGTCTGACGTTCCCAAGTTAAACTGAACGTGTGAGCAGCTGGGCGTGGTGGTTCACACCTGTAATCCCAGCACTTTGGGAGGCCGAGGCGGGCGGATCACCTGAGCTCAGGAGTTTTAAGACCAGCCTGGGCAACATGGTGAAACCCTGTCTCTACTAAAATACAAAAAATTAGCCGGGCGTGGTGGTGTCTGCCTGTAATCCCAGCTACTTGGGAGGCTGAGGCAGGAGAATTGCTTGAACCCGGGAGCCAGAGGTTGCAGTGAGCCGAGATCGCAACACTGCACCCCAGCCTGGGCGACAGAGCCCCCTCCCCCACCAAAAAAAGAACAAGTGAGCACCCTGCCACCTATTGAACATGTTCAAAGATGTTCTCAGCCTTAGTCCCAAAAGGAAAAAAAAAAAATGGAGCATTTGAGAATGTTCTTAGCTTTATTGCTAAGTGAGGAAAGAAAAACAACACATATTAAAAAAAAAAACTTGGGTGGAAAGTTAGGGCCATGTGGCATGAAAAGGAAGACCCAAGGGAAGTGTGGCCCATCTAGGGGTGTGGCTACTGCAGTGATCCAGCTGTATCACTACACTTCCCTGGCATCACAGTTATAGTGTGCCATTTATGGAAGAACTCTCCCCGCTGCTCTTGGCTTTGACAGTAGGAATCGGGTTATATATGGTCCCTCAGTTTGAAGATATTTGTCATTAAAAACCAGAACATGGGCTCTGAGATAGGGTCCTTTCCTGACCTATTCTGGTAAAGTCTTTATCCTCAGGATGCAAGGATACCACCCCCTTCCTTTGGAAAGTGTGGAATCACATGCAAAGTGCTAAGTGTTTCAGTTGCTTTGGAGTGCAGAACCATTTCAGGTAAGGCCAAATATTTTAAACATTAGTATAGGAAATTAGAGGGTTCCATTAGTCTGTGTGTGCATGAGAAGTAAAATTGCACAGGAAGCAATTTATGGAAAAGTTCACTTGGGAAACATTGTTTCGGCAGATTAGTAGTATGGTGTGCATTTCACAGGAAATTCAGTGCCGTGAGTATTACCTTTAAGCATCTTAGATATAGCAGCTGTTTATACTTATGGCTAAGTCAGAAATACTATCCCCGAATTCTATATGACCCTAGTTATACTATTGAAACTTTCTGTGCCTTTGTGCCTTAATCCTTGAATCAGGGATAATTTACTTACCTCCTAAGGTTATTGTAAGGATTAAATGCATATAGTATAAATAAAGCGCTGAGAACAATGCATGGCATAAAGTGATAGGCATTATTATAGGCTTTTGTTGGCTGTTGATTGAAGGTGTTCGCTGTTTTGGGGGTGTCCTTTGTTTTAATAGAGTAACTTCGTACTGTGGAAATAGCATGATTGTGAGCAAAAGAATCAGATGGTGGTGGCGGCAGACTTTGCTGTTCCCTTCTTGACTGTTGGTTATAGCCAATGCAGGATAAGTTATAAAGTCAAGAGCAGAGCCGTTTTCACAGTGGACACTGCTTTGTGATGTCTGTGAGCTTGCATGTGGGCATGACTATTTTAATTAATTCTCTATGTAAGGATTTTAAAGTATTGGCTATTCGGTAGCTTGAAAACGCTCTAATCTCAATGCTTTAAACTGAGAGTAGAAAATCAATAAAGCGAAAGAATGAGACCACGCAGTGTGTAGAATGAATGTCTTTTCACTACGTAGGGAAATCCGTAGTCCTAAGAAAAGAGGGAGTGAGAATTCTGGTGAAAAGATTGTGCCTCTGCACAAAGTGCAGGATCCCAGGGTTCAGAAGGGGCGCGAACGCTCCCGTGTGTTGACCACATTCCCACTGTTGCTTTTTCAGACATGCTGAGGAGGACTCCGCTGTGCGCGGTGCTCGGGCTTCTGCGCGCCCAGCCCTTCCCCTGTCCGCCGGCCTGCAAGTGTGTCTTCCGCGACGCCGCGCAGTGCTCGGGGGGCGACGTGGCGCGCATCTCCGCGCTGGGTCTGCCCACCAACCTCACGCACATCCTGCTCTTCGGAATGGGCCGCGGCGTCTTGCAGAACCACAGCTTCAGTGGCATGACCGTCCTGCAGCGCCTCGTGCTCTCCGACAGCCACATTTCCGCCGTTGCCCCTGGCGCCTTCAATGACCTGGTAAAACTGAAAACCCTCAGGCTGTCGCGCAACAAAATCACTCATCTTCCAGGTGCGCTGCTGGATAAGACGGTGCTCCTGGAGCAGCTGTTTTTGGACCACAATGCGCTAAGGGGCATTGACCAAAACATGTTTCAGAAACTGGTTAACCTGCAGGAGCTCGCTCTGAACCAGAATCAGCTCGATTTCCTTCCTGCCGGGCTCTTCACGAATCTGGGGAACCTGAAGTTGTTGGATTTATCGGGAAACAACCTGACCCACCTGCCCAAGGGATTGCTTGGAGCACAGGCTAAGCTCGAGAGACTTCTGCTCCACTCGAACCGGCTTGTTTCTCTGGATTCGGGGCTGTTGAACAGCCTGGGCGCCCTGACGGAACTGCAGCTCCACCGCAATCACATCCGTTCCATCACACCCGGGGCCTTCGACCGGCTCCCAAACCTGAGTGCTTTGACTCTTTCCAGAAACCACCTCGCGTTTCTCCCCTCTGCGCTCTTTCTTCATTCGCACAGTTTGACTCTGTTGACTCTGTTCGAGAACCCGCTGGCAGAGCTCCCGGGGGTGCTCTTCGGGGAGATGGGGGGCCTGCAGGAGCTGTGGCTGAACCGCACCCAGCTGCGCACCCTGCCCGCTGCCGCCTTCCGAAACCTGAGCCGCCTGCGGTCCTTAGGGGTGACTCTGAGCCCGCGGCTGAGCGCGCTCCCGCAGGGCGCCTTCCAGGGCCTGGGTGAGCTCCGGGTGCTCTCCCTGCACTCCAACGGCCTCACCGCCCTCCCCGACGGCTTGCTGCGGGGCCTGGGCAGGCTGCGCCAGGTGTCCCTGCGCCGCAACAGGCTGCGCGCCCTGCCCCGCGCGCTCTTCCGCAATCTCAGCAGCCTGGAGAGCGTCCAGCTCGACCACAACCAGCTGGAGACCCTGCCTGGCGACGCGTTTGGAGCTCTGCCCCGGCTGAAGGAGGTCCTGTTGGGGCACAACCCCTGGCGCTGCGACTGTGGCCTGGGGCCCTTCCTGGGGTGGCTGCGGCAGCACCCGGGCCTCGCGGGCCTGGAAGAGCCCCCGCGGTGCGCAGGCCCTGGGAAGCTCGCCGGCCTGCCGCTCTGGGCCCTGCCGGGGGGTGACGCGGAGTGCCCGGGCCCCCGGGGCCCGCCTCCCCACCCCGCTGCGGACAGCTCCTGGGAAGCCCCGGTCCATCCAGCCTTGGCTCCCAACAGCTCAGAACCCTGGATGTGGGCCCAGCCCGTGGCCACGGGCGAATATCAAGATCATGGCCCGTTCTGGGGGTTTTATTTTCTGCTTTTAGCTGTTCAGGCCTTGATCACCGTGATCATCGTGTTTGCATTGATTAAAATTGGCCAGCTCTTTCGAAAATTAATCAGAGAGAGCGCTCTTGGTTAAGTCAATGGGAAAATCTTCTAATTATTTAGAACGTGACCAGATGTGGCTCGGAGGGGAATCCAGACGGGCTGCTGCTGGCTTGCTCTCCCTCCCCTCCCCACTCTTTCTTCTTCCTCTTCTCTTCCACTGCCACGCCTTCCTTTCCCTCCTCCTCCCCCTCTCCGCTCAGTGCTCTGCGTTCTCACGGGTCCGCAATCCCTCCTCTCTGTCCGCCCCTCCCCTACCCCGCCCTCCTTGAAACTAAGCTTTACATTTGTAACCTGTGGTTGCCTGCCCTCCCCAGCTCCCTCCCACTCGGGTGTACGGATTGTGTTGGGCCCATCCTTGCCCGGCTGTGCCTGGCTTGGCGTCTGGTGGAGAGAGGGGCCTCTTCGGTGTCTACTGAGTAAGGGGACAACTTCAGGCCGGGGCCTGTCTCCTGCGCAGAGTAAGCCAGTAAATGTTTGTGAAATCAATGTGTGGATAAAGGAACACATGCCATCCAAGTAATGATGGCTTTTCCTGGAGGGAAAGGATAGGCTGTTGCTCTACTTTTTTTTTTTTTTTTTGAGACAGAGTCTAGCTGGAGTGCAGTGGTCCGTCTCGGCTCACTGCAGCCTCCACCTCCCAGGTTCAAGTGATTCTCATGCCTCAGCTTTCTGAGTAGCTGGGATTACAGGTGTGTGCCACCACACCCGGCTAATTTTTGTATTGTTTTAAGTAGAGACGGGGCTTCGTCATATTGGCCTGGCTGACCTGGTCTGAACTCCTGGTCACGAGTGATCTGCCTGCCTTGGCCTCCCAAGGTGCTGGGATTACAGGTTTGAGCCACCACACCTGGCCCTCTTTATCGACTTTCATTTGACAAGTAGAGCTCTTGCCGTTTTTTCCCTTGCCCCATTTTTCTCACTTGATGTCTCTCTGACCTATGGGCTACTTGGGAGAGCACTGAACTCCATTCGTGCATGAGCATTGTCAGGATAGGCGACTTCTGTGAGGCTGAGAGAGGAAGAAAACACAGAGCCTTCCCTCCAGGTGCCCAGTGTATGTCCAGCGTGTTTCCTGAGCCTCCTGTGAGTTTCCACTTGCTTTACATCCATGCAACATGTCATCTTGAAACTGGATTGATTTTCATTTCCTGGAACTCTGCCACCTCATTTTACAAGCTTTTATGGAGCAGCTAACATGTGACTGGTATTCATACACGTAATGATAAGCTTGATTCTAGTTCAGCTGCTGTCACAGTCTCATTTGTTCCTCCAACTGAAAGCTGTAAAACCTTTGTTGCTTTAATTGGATGTCTGTGCTTGTGAGAGGCAGTGGTTAAAACAGCGGCTGGCAAGTTGACAGCTATGGGTTCAAATCCCAGCTCTACCACTTACTAACTGCATGGGACTTTGGGTAAGACACCTGCTTACATTCTCTAAGTCTTAGTTTCCTCAACCTTAAAAAGGGATAACACAGCACCTGCTCCGTAGAGTTTTTGTGAGAATTAAAGGCAATAAACCGTATAATGACTGGGCCCAGTGGCCTGCAGACAATACATGTTAATGAATGCTAGCTATTATTACGAAAGGATGAGCAATTATTATTAGCATCATGATTTCTAAAGAAGAGCTTTGAGTCGGTTTTTTTCTCTGTGTAGAAAGGTAAGTCCAAACTTTCTCATACTGGAGGTCACATTCAAATCGGTCTGTCCTCCCCTGCGGATGGCCTCGGCCCTGTGTGGCCAGGCTCTGTGATCACAGGCCAGAGCAGGGGCTCCTCCAACACCACCCGGTGGATGTGGAGCAGGAAAGCTGGATCCTGACATTTGTTTCTGGGTTCTGCAGATGTGGGAGTTGGTTTCTGTGTTCTCCACTGGTCTGTTTGTCTAGTCCCATAGCGTACTCACCCTCTTCATTATTGGAGCTTGAATCGTTTTTGGTATAGGGTCATCTCTCCACCTGATTGTTCTTCTATTCTTGGCTCTTTGCAATTCTATGAGTATTTCAGGGTCAGCATGTCAACTCCATCGAGAATTTTAATAGAAATTGCAGTAAATTAGCTGGGTGTGGTGTCTCACCCCTGTAATCCCAGCCCTTTGGGAGGCCAAGGTGGGTGGATCACGAGGTCAGGAGTTCGAGACCAGCCTGGCCAAGATGGTGAAACCCCGTCTCTACTAAAAATAAAAAAATTAGCCGGGTGCAGTGGCAGGTGCCTGTAATTCCAGCTACTTGGGACACTGAGGCAGGAGAATCACTTGAACCCGGAGGGCAGAGGTTGCAGTGAGCTGAGATTGTGCCACTGCACTCTAGCCTGGGTGATAGAGCGAGACGCCATCTCAAAAAAAAAAAAAGAAAAAAATTGCAGTAAATTTAAAACAATTTGGGGGAAGAATTTGTATTTTTTTGTAATACCTAGTGTTCCTGCCAGTAAGCATGTTTCATCTTCCCATTTATCTATGTCATTTGAAATCTTTCAGTGATGTTTTAGAATGTTTTTTATAAAACATTCACGATGAGGACAGAAAACCAAACACTGCATGTTCTCACTCACAGTCGGGAGTTGAACAATGAGAACACATGGACACAGGGCAGGGAGCATCACACATCGCAGCCTATCAGGGGATAGGGGGATGGGGGAGGGATAGCATCAGGAGAAATACCTAATGTAAATGACCAGTTGATAGGTGTAGCAAACCAACATGGCACATGTATACATATGTGACAAACCTGCACGTTGTGCACGTGTACCCTAGAACTAAAAGTATGTGTGTGTGTGTGTGTATGTGTGTGTGTGTGTATATATATATATATATAAAAAAGAAACCTTGCACTGATTTTGTTAGATTTATTGCTAGGTATCCTTCCTCTTTTTTGATTTGTCATTGCTATTATAGATGGTATCTTTTTAAGAAGTTATATTTTCTAAAGAAAAAAAACAAAAAAATTGTATTTTCTCATTTTTATTACCAATATATAGGAATGTAATTTAATTTTACATAATTATCTTATGTCTCTGATAATTTGCTTCTTCCTATTAAAACCTTATACCCATTATTGATTTATTTTTCTATTTTAAAATATCTTCCTGCACTGGCTAAAACCTCCACTATAATGTTGAGCAGGACAGTGAGCATCTTAGAACAGTCTTGGTTGCAAAGGGTTTTATCAATAAATGTGACATTTCTGGTCTGAGTTTGCTAAGTATATTTAAAAATTATCAGTAAAGTTAGATTTTATCCATTTTTATCTTAACTATTGAGGTGCTTATATCGTTTTTCTCCTTCACTGTGTTAAAATGGTGAATAAATTTATAGACTTTTGAAAAGTAAATTCATTCTTGCATTCCCGAAGTAAACCAAGCTGCGCTGTGTGTCTTTAAAATATATTGCTGAATTCAGCTTGCTATTTTGTTTAGAACTTTTACTATCTGTTCATTAGTGAGATTTGCTTATACATTGAAAATAATATCCTTGACTGGTTTTGGTATCAGGTTATACAGCCTCATAAAGTGGGTGGGGACATTCTCTCTGGAATGGTCCATAAAAACTGGGATCATCTTTTCCTTGAACGTGTTGTAGAACCCCCTGGAAAACCATCGTGGCCTGGTTTTATTGTATGTGTGTATTCGGTATTTATTGTTGCATAACCAATACCCCAGATCTTGGTAGTTTAAAACAATAACATATATTATGTCACAGCTTCTGAGTAGTTGAGTGGCTGTGGCTCAGGGTCTGTCATGAGGTTGCCATCAAAATGTTGGCTGGGGCTATAATCATCGTGACTGTGGCTGGAGGATTTGCTTCCGATATATCCTGCTCACACTGTTGGCAGTGCCCTGCTGGCTCACGGCAGGCAACCTTGGGTCCTTGCCATATGGACCCCTTTAGGGATGCTTGAGTGTCCTCATGGCATGGCAGCTGGCTTCCCCCTTTCGTTCTTCAAAGAATTGTGGGTTTTGTGTGTTTTTTTTTAACGTAAGATCTAAAAGAGAAAAAATTAACATTGATCTCTATGTTGCTTGAGCTAGAAGGCATAAGAAAACGAATAACATATATCCATGAAATTTCTCCCAAATGTGCGGTAAAAAGATGAAATCTTTAGATAAGTTGTACACAGAAGCTAGATTTACTACTCTCTAAATAGTGAAGGGACCTGCTATATAAAACACAGAAATAAGTTAATGCTTTTGGTAAGAATGTAACCTGAGCTTTGCTGAAGCTTCATTCCCTGAGGATGTCTAAAATGCCAGTCCAGGCCAGGCATAGTCGCTCACGCTTGTCATCCCAGAACTTTGGGAGGCCAAGGAAGGTGGATTGCTTGAGCCCAGGAGTTTGAGACCAGCCTGCTCAACATAGTGATATCCCCAGCTCTACAAAAAATACAGAATTAGCTGGGCACAGTGGTGTGCTCCTGTAGTCCCAGCCACTTGGGAGGCTGAGGCAGGAAGATTGTTTGAGCCCGGGATGTTGAGGCTGCAGTGAGCCATGATCATGCCACTGTACTCCAACCTGGGTGGCAGAGTGAGACTCCATCTCTCAGTAAATTAAAAAATAAGATTTGATTTAAAATGTTTTATAGTTTAATTTACTGATATTATACATTTCTACTCATATGTTAGATTGAACTGTATTAAATTTTTGATGTTCAACCATTTTTGACCTAAAAAACAAGTTTCTTGGAAAGCCAAGGAGGTGGATCACTCAGAAGTTCGAGACCATCCAGGCCAGCATGGTGAAACCCTGTCTCTACTAAAAATACAAAAAATTAGCTGGGTGTGGTGGTGCACACCTGTAGTCCCAGCTACTCAGGAGGCTGAGGCAGGAGAATTGCTTGAACCCAGGACGTGGAGGTTGCAGTGAGCCAAGATTGCACCACTGCACTCCAGCCTGGGTGACAGAGCGAGACTCTGTCTCAAAAAACAACAAAAATCAAGTTTCGTGTGATTTAACCAAAAGTTCTGGCACTATATGTAGTTCTTCCAGTGATTACATTTGTAACTTTAAAGTTCACCTTTTTCTCGTTCCAGCAACTGCAG